GAGTGCTGTGTTCAGTTTTGGGCCCCTCACTACAAGAAGGACATGGAGGTGCTGGAGCGTGTCCAGAGGAGGGCAACGAAGTTGGTGAAGGGTCTAGAGCACAAGTCTTATGAGGAGCGGCTGAGGGAGCTGGGGTTGTTTAGTCTGGAGAAGACGAGGCTGAGGGGAGACTTTTATCACTCTCTACAGCTACCTGAAAGGAGGTTGTAGTGAGGTGGGGGTCCATCTCTTCTGCTAAATAACAAGCAATAGGAGGAGAGGAAGTGGCCTCAAGTTTGCCAGGGGAGATTTAGATTAGATATTAGGAAAAATTTCTTCACTGAGAGAGTGGTTAGGCACTGGAACAGGCTGCCCAGGGAAGTGGTGCAATCACAGTCCCTGGAAGTATTCAAAAACTATGTAGATGTGGTGCTTAGGGACATGGTTTAGAGGTGGACTTGACAGTTAGGTTAACAGGTTGGATTCAATGATCTCAGAGGTCTTTTCCAACTGTAACGATTCTATGATTCTGTTGTATGAGTAGAGAGCCTAAGGGGAGCTGATCTTGTGTGAGTTGCTTCAGCTGCAAACCTGCTTCTAGTTTGCATCCAGGCTTCCCTCATTATTTTCAGCCATCAACAAAAAGGTATCCCCTTTTTTCTACAGTGACTTGTGCCTGGGCAGAAATCCCTGCTGAAATCCGTAGGGCTGTTAACCAAGCACTCCCCAATCTCCCGCCCTGATGCTCTGCAGGGCTGCTGTCTGCCTCGGCTACGATGGCTACCATTCCTCCAGCAAAGCCTCTGGTGGAGCCCGCTGTCTCCTCAGTCGTGCAGCCAGCTCTCTTAGCTCTCCACTGTGTTATTTATTTATGTTAAAAAGTTTATTTATTTTTTATTTTTAAAAGTTTATTGATTTATTTTTTCTTTTTAAAAGTTTGCAAATGGTGATTAATAATCCAAACAAGCCTTAGCTTTCAAGCATGACCTGCAGAGCGAAGGTTACGGGAGGCCGCGGGGATGGTGCGCGTTTTCATGGGCCACCAAAGGCAGCCGGGGAGCAAGCAGACGAGGGGCGGTGAAGAGATGGTTTCTGTGGCGAGCTGTCAGCTGATGCCGGCTTCCTCCGCCCGCCCGCCCGCCCGGCGCTC